AATTTTAGTTGTTATTTTTCAGATCGAATTGCAAAAAGGAGGCTATAATTTTTAGGTTATGAACCGTGAAACCATACTCTAATATACGATCGGGTGATTAATACTATTCTTCAGAAGAAATAACACCCTTTCTTGTTCATCAAAAAAGTTCTTCATTTTAAAATTGTACAATAATCCATATTTTTAGTTGTTATTCTTGAACAGCTCGAATTGCAAAATGGCGGCAATTTCTTCAGAAAAAACTATATTCCTTCACTTACATGTTTCCTGAACTTCCAATCGAACAGTTGAAATCGAAGATATTCTCTCTGTTTTGTTTTCGTAATATTTTATTTAAGTTTCAAATATTTCAGATCGAAATGGACGACCATTCGCGTCGATGTCTGTTCGAAATCCTTTCGCCCCGCAGATGTTGGCGGCTGTGAACGTTCCAGTGGGGGAAGGTGACAAAATCGGTTTTAATAGAGAAGTGGACCCCCGGTTACATTATCGTCCCGTCGGAGGCGGGCGTTACTTTTGTCAGGCAGCTGGTTCCTCGTCGACGTTTTCGGGAAGAAGTGAGTGTTGAAAGATCCTCCAAAGAGGCCGAAGAAATCTTTAACGCTTTGAACCCTTCGAAATGCAAACACGAACCTAAAATCCAAAAGTTGCTAACACTGTGGCTGGGTCCCTGGCGACCCGTCAATAAATCTAAATATCTATATGCACGTGTCAGTGAGATTTTACACGCGGGTCATAATTGACCCAGGCATTGATTTTTGCGGTGAAAATAATTTCAGATTTTCAATTTTGATTTCAATCGATTACTAAACTCTTCATTTAGAACAAGAGCATTTCTTTGTGGGAGCATTGAATTTGGATTCTTTCTGTGATCAAAGGAATAATAATTTTCGATTTGGAGTATCGTTTACGTGATGAATTTTAATTGTTCGATGTGTTTCAAGAATGTTCTTGTAAAAGCATGTACGATGAGAAAAAAAAAGCGAAAAAGGGGAGGGTCGTGTGAACCGGATCTTACGTCGTTGGCAGCTGTCGAGGGGACACGTCGTCGGCTTCTCTCCTCTCGGACAGAGATCTTGCATAAAAAGAAATAGATGCCCGTCCGTGTGCTGGGGGCGCGAGCGGAACACGAACGCCACGTTAAGAGAAGAAACGAAGAAAACGAGTTTGATTATTTTCTGCGTGGACCTCTGAGGATATCGAGCTTTGGGAGATTCTGTAGAATGTAAATATATAAACAATCCATTAATTTATAACAATTAACTTTGTGGTAGTTGAAATAGAGTAGACAGCAATCTTCATTGAAGAAATGAAGAAATCGAGTTTAATTATTTTTTATTGGACCTCTGAGGAGATCGAGCTTTGGAAGATACTTTAGAATGGAAATATATAAACAATCCATTAATTTATAACAATTAACTTTGTGGTAGTTGAAATAGAGTAGACAGCAATCTTCATTGAAGAAATGAAGAAATCGAGTTTAATTATTTTTTATTGGACCTCTAAGGATATCGAGCTTTAGGAGATTCTTTAGAATGTAAATATATAAACAATCCATTAATTTATAACAATTAACTTTGTGGTAGTTGAAATAGAGTAGACAGCAATCTTCATTGAAGAAATGAAGAAATCGAGTTTAATTATTTTTTATTGGACCTCTGAGGAGATCGAGCTTTGGAAGATACTTTAGAATGGAAATATATAAACAATCCATTAATTTATAACAATTAACTTTGTGGTAGTTGAAATAGAGTAGACAGCAATCTTCATTGAAGAAATGAAGAAATCGAGTTTAATTATTTTTTATTGGACCTCTGAGGAGATCGAGCTTTGGAAGATACTTTAGAATGGAAATACATAAACAATCCATTAATTTATAACAATTAACTTAGTGGTAGTTGAAATAGAATGGACAGCAGTCTTCGAGGAAGAAAAGAAGAAATACCTCTAAAATTCGATTGACTCTTCAATATTCAGGTTCTAATTCTGAAAAATCAATTTTTCCATTTTCTTAACCATATATTCTAGACTCTTTCTGAAAAGAAATTTTCCTGAATATGCAACCAATACAAATTGAAACTGAATATCCGAAATAAAACGCGTTTCCGGTTCGAGAAAAGGGTCTCTCGGGCGGTTTCCCTTTGATGTGGCCGATAAACCGAAATCGCGAGACACGGAAGACAGGAAAGAAAGGTTCTTGCTCGGTCTCCCGAGAAATTTATAATTCGAACCGCCTGTCGGCGACTGACTCCTAGTTCGATGGGCGGGACCATGGCCTCGAAATGATTTTTCTAGCGAAAATCTGACCTCGGAGAACCAACCTAGAATCTTAATAAAACTAATCTTCAACAAATTTTTTCATTAATTACCCTTTTACAAACAGGTTTACTTTTAAATCATAAAGTGGACTTCCGAAGAAAATTGGGGAAGAGGAAAAATGTGATTGATAACCAACTTAAAATTTTAATAAAAGTAACCTTCAAAAAATTTGTTCATTAATTAACCATTTACAAACAGGTTTACTTTTAAATCATAAAGTGGACTTCCGAAAAAAATTGAGGAAGAGGAAAAATGTGATTGATAACCAACTTAAAATTTTAATAAAAGTAACCTTCAAAAAATTTGTTCATTAATTACCCATTTACAAACAGGTTTACTTTTAAATCATAAAGTGGACTTCTGAAGAAAATTGGGGAAGGGGAAAAATGTGATTGATAACCAACTTAAAATTTTAATAAAAGTAACCTTCAAAAAATTTGTTTTTCATTAATTACCCATTTACAAACAGGTTTACTTTTAAATCATAAAGTGGACCTCTGAAGAAAATTGGTGGAGGTGAAAAAATATGTTGAGTCTTGTAGACAAGACTGTTTGTTACGTCGTTTGTTATCAAGGGCGTTAAAGTTTGCAATGGAGCCAGAAGAAGACGGGTGGAAGCCGGAATCGGTAAGGAGGAAAACACTGTCTGCATTCATTCGTCTTCGGTGACCCACATTCGCAGAAGTCGCTATCTTTTCTCCTTCGCTCGTCTCGCCCGACGAACAATCGTTCATGAGTCAAACCACGGCTCGCTGAAGATCGCTTTGAATCTGTCACTTTGCTCCTCGAGACCGCAAGAACGATCATTCTCAGTCAGAAACATTAAACTACAAAAAAACAATCGAACTCTGGTATTCTCATCATTTCTTCCATTCTGACAGCAAAAGCTTAAGGTTCATCTTGTATTTGGGCCTAAATTGCTTGTGGATTCAAAACTTCAGTTCTGAAGACTAGGGATAAACAGATACCTTCAACGTATCGATACTTTTACTCGTTACTTGTATCGAAAAAAGTACGAATATCTACTCAGTATCGTAGTAGAAATATCGATACCTAGAAATAAACCGATACCGTTAAGGTATCGATACTTTTACTTCAAACTTGTATAGAAAAAAAGTATCGATATCTACATAGTATTGTATCAAAAGTATCGATACCCAGGGATAAATCGATATCGTCAAGGTATCGATAAATTTACTCATAACTTGTATCGAAAAAAGTACAAATATCTACTCGGTATCGTATTAGAAATATCGATACCTAGGGATAAACCGATATCGTCAAGGTTTCGATACTTTCACTCATAATTTGTATCGAAAAAAGTATCTATATCTATTCAGTATCGTATTAGAAATATCGATACCTAGGGATAAACCGATAACGTCAACGTATCGATACCTTTACGCATAATTTGTATCGAAAATTGATTCGAATAAGAGCCAATCCATCAGATCTATCGAAAGCTAAAAAAGATTCGTGAAAGACTACATAATATAGTTTATGAGAAATAACACACGTCTCTTGACGCCTTTTCCTGCGATTGTGAAGTGTGTACCATCGACGAACAATGACTTTAATGTTGGTACATGAATCAGACGATCGGTATACTTGTATTAGCCAGCAAGGTTGTTCGTGAGGAAGAGGAGGAAGCGGTGGCCAGTGAGGGACGAGTACATTTATGGGTCGTATCTTCGTAGATAGTATTCATTAGGGACACCGTGTACGCGTCAGCGTACAACCGTAGAAAGAAAAAAACGCCCGGAAAAAATGATTCAATCCACACTCGTGGGAAGTCGAGGTCTCTCGAAGACGATACTAGATCCTATATTTTACACACTCAACGAAGTGATACCTTTTTTTAAAAATTAGCTTTTCCAATTTATCAAAACGGTAGAAGCATCATTGAAGAAAACGGCAATAATTTTCTGATTCTAATTAGCGAAGTGAATATAGGGTAAACGCACCAATAAATGAACACTATCAAAGTCAAATTTGAAATGAAAATAATATTAATAAATATTTGACACATGAAAATTAGACTTTAATATCTATACCATTTTGTAACGTACAGATTTCAATTTGAAAAATGTAACCAATTAAATTAAGAAGACATAATACAGATTTCACCAGTGAATGAACAATATTAAGTAAATGAACATTTCTAACCAAATGGTGCGAAAATGGTTTCAATACGAAATAAGGAATTGAAAAACATAAATTCTTAATATATAATGTTCATTCGTTGAACAGTTCACCCCATTATACACTTTAGTATAACTACTATTTTCCATAATTGTTCGAATGAAATTAAAAAACATTTTTTTGTATCTACCTATGGCCGGGTCACTGATGACCCTTTGAAAAACACCATTTCATGCAATGATCAACTGAATACTGTTTAAGGGCTCTTAAAAAAAAAAATCACGTGGGTCACTTTCGACCCAGCCCTCGGCATTGACAGTCTGTATATCTATTTTTAAATATTCCATAAAACTAGCTGGGACTTATAACAACGTTACGAGAAGAAACGACAGTCGTACATTCTCACCTTTTTTTCTTTCCCAACGGACTTCAGGGAACGTCAGGCAGCATCCATTCTCGCGGCGAAAGATGATCGATTTGTGATGGTCAGGTCGAAAGGAAATATTAAAAAGGTCGAGGCGTCGCCGTACAGAGGGTACATGGAGCTCAGGTCAATGTCGAGGCGACCACCGCCGCCGTACACGCAAGTGAACGGTCCAGAACACGTGAACTTGCAGGATGATTCCGCAAGCAAACATCAAAATGGTACTTTTGGATTTTACTCTGTTCAAAAAATGGAGTATTTGAAATAATTTCTACAGCTTTTCTCTGACTAAACGACATTTTATACTCGAAAACATAAGGTTCCAATAAAATGAGACTAGAAGAGGTTGAAGACAGACCCACAATAATAATCACAAGCGGTTGCTCGAAATTCTCAAGATGCAGATCTATCAGCTACGGCATCACTGGACTGTTGGTTATCCTCATCTGTGTTCTGCTGACCACCTTATTGTTTCCTTATCCGCTGCATGCTTCCTGTATCGTCAAATGGTACATTCCATAGATCTTCTAAATACAGACTACTCTCGATTATTGTCCCGAACAGTGGTCCGCGTTGGGACAATAACCTTATCGTAAATTCGTTTTTTGCCCTCGACAACAAAGGTGGAGGGGCAACAAAGTATACGTTTGACAGGTTCCACCTCCCCCCCTTAATGGCAGGGATAACGCCTGGACAATAATCGTCTAGAACAATCCAGACAATAATCAAGAGGAGTCTGTACAGTGGACATAAAAAAAGAAAAGAAACATACGATACCTTAAACTATTTTTCCTTTTAAAATTATCATACTTTTATTTGATAGCCTTAATTTTTTTTATCATTTCTTCAATTTTTCGGGGTATTTTAATGGGTTAGGATGATTGTTTTGCCTGCATCTGTGGGAGACGACGAAAAATGTGTTCTAAGATAACGTCCACTTGCCAGCCGCTTCTGCAAACAATCCTGCGCATAGAGAAACTCAATATTACCCAGCCGGGAGGTTCGTATATTTTCCTTTGGCTGGACGACACCGCTTGAAAAATATACGGGCCACGGTTTTCGAGCCCATGAGAACGTTTAGGCGTCTGATACCGTGTTATTTCGGTGCGCCCCCTTTGAACTCCAGCACTGCCAAAAGATGACAATAAATTTTCTTCAATATAGACTGCCTGCGGGAGGGGGGGGGGGGCTTGTTAACCTACATAACAATTTTATATTTCGATGCTGAATCACAGAACATCTCACCCCAAATCATTACTTAAGTTTCTAACCCTACCATCTTAACTAAAATAGTTTCTTACTGGAAAAAAAATTACTTTCTTCCATTAAGTTCTTTAGACCAATTACTTGTGAATTTAGCGATGATAATGGTTCGTGTTTGGTAGGAAATTTGGTGACCCCTGCACACACACTATGCAGAAGTTCCGAAGTCAAATCCTTACCTGGTCGTTCTGGGTCAACTGTGGCCCACGTGGTAGCAAGTGTTTGTACTCGGTAAGAAATGTGGCTTCCGGTTATTATCAAATAGACTCCAATAGTTCCTTCCAATTGTAATTCATTATTCGTTTCACAGCTCAAAGCACCGATACCAGATGAAGGTAATGTGATCAGAGCCATTCACCTTGGATCGAACATGAAGATAATGGAGACCATAAAAATCACGTTTGAAGAGGTGAACAAGACCTGTGTGGCAACGGTACGATCCCATCTAATTGTCTCTGTTTACTATTTCTGTTACATTCTTCATATTTTTCTCGTTAAAGGGCGAATCTGTGTCTAACGAATGGTTCAGGGTATTCGATTACAGTACAAATTACTGCAATCTGAGGAACTTGGTGACCGGTATCGGTTTCGACAAGAGTCCCAGGTTTCTGGAGCTGACCACAAACGCGATTTGCACGCAATACAACATGGCAGTCTGCGAGTAGACCCAACGATTTTACACTTTTTAACGTGTTTTTTTTTTATGCAATAACCTTTACGATTTTTGACAAAGACATTGTATGAAGCAGTGTACGTTTGTTGTGATTTATTCGTTATTATTCTGTAAGGGTTTACAAAAATAAATTACATTAAACCGAACGTCGACGATCCTCGTTCCCTCTAAACGACTGACTACGCGAAAATATATAATTTAAGGCACACGGGTACACAATATGAATATTTACAAAATCAGATAAAACGTACCATTCCAATGTTCCATTTCCGTTCCTTATACTAGTCCGTATAAATATCATAAAATGTGAATTGTTACAATATTCGTCCAGTTTTAAAAAAAGTATCTTATGAGCAGCCTTAGCCTAGCAACGAAACACTTAAGTATCTAATGCGATTGTTTCAGTCCCCAAATATGGACGATCCGTTCTTATGTCTTGTGCAAAATTGGTGGCCAACGCTGGCGACGATACGACACTTTCGGCCGCTTTTCGTCATAGCGTTGCACAACATTCTAGACGATGCGTACGACGGAGTGACGCTGAAAAAAATATATTTTTTTTTAACAAATTACTAACACTTCAGAACGGATAATTGGTTCTTTCTGAGTTCTTTTACATACCTTCTGGAGGGAGAACCTGGAACGCGAGAGGATCTGCTCAGGGAGCCTTCTACTCTCCTCAAGCGTCGCCTCAGTTCATTCGCATCTATCAAATTGTCAAGATCATCGGTGCTGTCGTTTCTTTCGCTCATCACGTTGGAATTCTCGAAATCGGTGACGTCATCGGAGATCATGCTGGGAAACTCGCGGTGATAATTGTACACAAGGTCCTCCCGTTGCTTCTTCGAGGGCACGTAAGAGCAGGACAGCTCCTCCCGTTGCGTGAAACTTTGCCGACTCCAAGAAACTGCGGATTGCAGTAAGGCACCACTTTTTTCTGGAAACAGATCAGAAAAATAGAATCACGGGTACGGACTAGTGGCTTGTAAGTTCGTTGACTTACGTATACAATGATTTGTCTGATTGTAAATAGCGTTGTAAACGTTCCGTGTGTTTCTTTTCAGCTTCGAGTACAAAGACATCGAAGATTCCCGAAGCGACTGAGTGTTTGCACTCGAGGAGACATAGCTGTGTACAGCACCGTTTACGGGACCATTTTCATTGATGATTTGCACCGGTTCGGAACGCACTGTCTTCGCCTTTGGTCCGCAAATACGTTGGATTCCGGTCATCAGGAAGTGCACTGTGGAATCAAAGACATGTCAGTACTGTTGGATACGTTTGGAGAGACCTTTTTTGTTCTTTTAGTGTGATACATACTGGTTGTGATGAGGAATATTAGTACAGTCATCGATGTGAAGTCCAAGCAAGCTTCCATGCCATGTTTCAAGTACGATAATAAATTCAATGGCACTAAACCCATTATAGTAAGCCTGGTGATGAACGGTGCATGGAGAAACGCGGCGATTATCATAGCGCACAGCAAGTAAACAACATGCAACCCCGTACAATACATTTTGTGCATCTGTTCCCCTGTGTCGCCGATATAATTGGTCAGCCAATTAAGCTTCTGATCCACTTCTGCACGCATGGTGTTTGTTATATTCCAGAGGAACTGAATTGTATCATTAATCTGAGCTAGCTTCTCTAAAGTTTGCTCATACTGCACCAGTGCTTCTTCGTGCTGTTCGAATATACGATTGGTACTGGTTTCGATTTTGTCCCAAATGAACTGGGCTTGTTCTTGAATGTTTGTCAAATCCTCAAGTATTTCCTTATGATTGTTACTATGCTCGACTGCCTGATCCTCTAAACTTTTACTTGCTTCGGCCAATTTATTCTTGATGTCTTCTGCCATTACTGCCAACTGAGCGTGACCCATCCTGATCAATGCTTTTTCATTACTCAATTCTCTCAGATTCGATGTTACTAGTTTCTGAGCCGATGCTTGTGCGTCTTTCAAATGTTGCTGTTGCTCCAAGAGTGCTTCGTTCCCTTTAGACAAGGAGTCCAATGCTTGTACCGTTTGCTCTTCTAAACGATCTTGGCTTTCCTGAATTTATATTTAATCAATCACCGGACTAAGGCGGAAGCTACAAATATAAAATAGTTTCTTTTTGCACAATTACCTTCAAGGAACCCAATGTTTTAATTTGCGTGTGCGCGGTTTGCATCAATTTGTTTACCGTCAATTCTGTGAGAGCACGAAATTGCGTACCACGAGCTGCATAACAAACTGCCCTTGCTCTGTTACTCATTAAATGATACGCATTCCACATATCTGCGTCCATATCTGTTGTGCATTGTTTCAGGGACTATAAAGAATCACAGAAGTCACAAACACAGATAATGAACGAAACTATATTTTATTGAACTATTATTATTTCACTAAACTGTGATTATTGATTTGCAAAATTAACGAACAACCAATAAGAATATGTAGATGTTCAGTTGGATGTGCACATGTAAAGGATACTTTATGTTATGAGACTGATATTGAACAGAGCTCAGAGGGGGTCTGTGTCTCTTAGTGGGGGAAGTTGCAGGTCTGAACATGCCTAAAACTACCCCTGTACATACACATGGCACACACACGTGTGAAGCCATGTATATGTGAGTCTGATTTCAATCTATACAACATCAGCTCCATTCAACATATAGCAATGGAAACGTTTTTTTTTTGCTGTAAATCTTAGAGAAGTTAAAAACATATGATAACAAGAAGTTTCGGAATTTTAGACTCATTTTAAATCAAGGAATATTTGAACAATTGATTTACCATTTCTTCAGTGCAAGGAAACATTTTCCTGCCTTCCACTGCAGCTTGGCAGTTCAAAAGATTGACACTCAATTTGGCAAGTTGTTCTTCGGTCATCTCAGAGCAGGAAGTTCTAATCTTCATGATGACTTTATGCTGGCAAGTTTCCAACGGCGATGACACTTGGATCTCTGTGAATTTTGCCGCTTCCTGCAGAAATTTTTCATCCTCTGTCATGGATTCATAGGGAATTGCAACCAATGGTACACCATCGGCGACTAAAACAGTGCTCTCCTCGTTAGCCTTTCCCCAAATCCAACCAAACATTGAATTCGCTTCAGCCTGACAAGTTATTGACATAACAAGCAACGTCAATAAATATCCCAGCTCCATTTTTCCTATAAATTTCTAAAAAAACGCAACGAAAAACACTTGATTAATTATTCTATTTCGTGAAATTTATTTTTTGTTTGCCCAAAAAATGTCTGACTCAAAGTACCTAGAACGAAAGAAAAAGGCACACCTCCAATATTGAAGGAATACGTGTGATAGTCGAGTATAAATTTACTAAAATCGTGGAATCAACGTTTCGGCGATACGCTATCAAGTACACCAAATTCCTTCTTTCGTAACGTCACATGGACGAGCGTTCAATTTAATCGAACAAATACTACGTGTTCGACAATCACTCTGGCCAGAACCGACAGAATATTTTTACCGTTGGGAAAATCGACGGTTTCATTCATGTCATCAAAAATCACGTAGTGTTAGTGTCTGACGGACGAAAATAACCGCTCTACAGGTGAGAGACGAGATGACATGTGTTTATTTTCTTTCGTACGAAATATTCGTAACGGTCGGAGCGCTAGATGCAATGGCGGAAAAATTCGAATAAGAAATTTCTTTGTCGTTATACATAGCATACATGTCCATAACCGTAAATAATTTGCATAATCTATCTATTTAAAAAAATGTACAGATTCTTATAAATTTCATTGCTAAAGTTTGAACAATTTGAAAGTTTCTATTATAAAGCACTAACCTATCAGAGGCTCAATCATTCGAAGCCATTTTTAGCGCCTTTTGGTTAAGCCAATCACAGTGAGTCTCACTTCACTGTTTGGCGCGTAAACAGTTTTATTTCGCGAACGTCAAGTGACGTGCGGTTTCAAACGTGTTCTTTGTAAAGTGAAAGGTTTTTTTGTGTCAGTAGTGTTAAAACAGTTTCTGAAACGTGTATTTAGTGCAATTTAGTGCCTGAAACAATCTTCTACCTATCTTTTGGAATGTCACGGCATGTAACGCGGTTAAAAGTGTAACGGTGATGAACAGGACGACAATTACTATATGGCTGCAATGTAAGTTTTTATTACTACTCAAATTTGTATTGCGGATAAAAACTAATATACATTAATTTTATAATATTATATTTACAAGAAGTAATTTACACGTTTCATACAAAGTATTGTTTATAAAAAGTGAAATAGTGCGTTATTTCTTTTCTGGCACTACCTCACTAATTCCATACATTCCTGCCAGTAGTCTACCATGTGACGTTGGCACTGGTTCTTTTGGTGCCACATAAGGTCCTTTCTCGTCCATGTATACATACCTATATTTTCGCTAAGGAGTTTAAAAAATTTTAAATACACACAGTTGCCAGTTCATAAATGGCAATATTAATATAAAAAGGATACGGTAGCCTTAAGACCCAGTAGGCACTTTGGGATAACTTGATAGGTTCGTCACAACCGGTTACAAATATTGGACAGGGTGGAGGTCCTGGTTGAACTCTAGGATTCAATGTGACATGAACAGGAGCTTTTGGAGTCACCACGTGAATTCTCATTAACTGAGCTATCAGTGGTTTTGTTTGCCTACACAATTATGCAACTTTTAAGCATTTCCATTGCACCGATAGTAATAATATTTTGAGATCTACATACCTGCAAGGGCAAGGAAAATAGAGAGGCATGTCCGCTGTACTGGATGTGACTTTATTCCCACTATCCTTGACAATTCCATTTCCAGTCGCTTTCAAAACCTTGTCAGGTGCAGACGCCATGAATCTGTGACCCCGTGGACATTCGTACTCCACTCCGACAAATATTTTCACAACAAACTCTTTTCCACCTTTTGATTTTCGGCCACGAATGGTATTCATATTCTGAAAGTTCTTTCCTCTGGGACAGTAACTGTGTGCCCCATGATCACCTATTGTAGGCCATAAGGAACCTCTTTCCTTTTGGTGTTCCAATCTGCCAGAAACAAAGTATATGAGATATGTCTAACGGATTTTTGTCTTACGGAACATTTAAAATCTTTCAAACTACCTTACGGTCACATCCCAGGGTAGAAGGAAGGCGGAAGTAGGCAAAACACCAGCCTGGTGCTGTAAACCCAAATTGTGGGAGTACAAGCTACTTGGCCCAAGGCAAACTAAAGACCAGCTTGAAAACTGCGGTAACAAACCAGCTGGAGATTCAGTGTGCAACATTCCTGGCAGATATTCCGTGGTTGACGGTTGTCTGACCAATGATTTCTCTGTAGAATTCGAAATTGTTGGACGTTTCATTTCTTAAAATTGCCAACTTTTAGAGCGAAAATTGTGCAGCACTTACCTTTGTTATCTGCATCACTATCAGAAACCTCTATGACCACTTTGTGTGCATCAGTCGGTGTTAGACTGGTTTTACTGAGTTTAGGGGCGTCTTCGTTGGTTTCACTTGTCTCCTGAGACTGACCACCACTTCCATATGGTGTACGGATGTCATCTGAAACTGCGTATGGCGTTAAAACTTCAAATCTTGTTAGATTTCATAATAATGTGACGGTACCATTGAGAGTATTGACTCCTAGGCTACAAGCTTGAGTGTTTCCTCTTGGGGTAGGTGACTCTGCATGAGTGAAAGAATCCTTGCGTTTGGTTACAGAAAGCAATTGCGCTGGCCTGTAATCGAAATATGTATTATTCTACAAAGTATTTGTAATTTTGCTGAAGCAACATCACTGTTTACCACTGATTTACCTATAATTATGGGTGCTTGGTTGGAATACTGGAAATTGGATATTTTCTAGTTGTGCACAGCCGCATTGTTTGGCCAGCATTTGAAAGTAATCATGATTCGCCTGCCGTAAACTGAAGGGATCCTCCCGCGACGCTTGACAACGACCACAATTACATGCACAAATGTATCGTACTCCGCTGCAATGTTCTCTAATTGGCAGATCACTGTAAAGTGTTAAATAAATTTCGATTAACGTATTTTAGAATCGAGCGTAATAGGGTTTGCTTGAAGTAGACTCACTTGTCACCGTCTCTAGGCTCTGGTTGTTCCCCACCTCCAGCACCTTCACTTCCACCTCTGTGGATGGGGTTGGTGCAGGGGTTGCCTGTGAGGGACAGGACTTCACACATTTGTCGTCCTGACCGCCAGTGTTTTTCACATTCAGCTTGTAGCTTCTCGCTAAATTCTTCGTACAAAGGACCACGAGCATGCATCTCGAAAACCGCCATGGCGTGAGCCAATTTCGTTTCGTGGTATGCTCTAATGAAACGTCAACATTACTAATGGCCTACTAATTTCCTAGTGATGTCTTATACAATCCTGTCTGTACCTTGTATAATGCTGAGGCAGATTCTCTTGATACGTTTGCAAAGCCCTTGGTAACACTTTGCTGCACCTACTTTTGCTGAATTTAACGTCCGTATCTAGCAAACCGTGCAAACTCAGCAATTCCTTGTCCGTTCCATGCATGAAGTAGTTATAGACTTTGTTTGCCACTTCGCAGAATATTCCAACAGTTGGTATCTAATTGACGTATAAAAAGAGCAAGACTGAATCTGTGTTCTGTGGATCTTAGGTTAATAATTGAGGTTTCTTCATACTAACCTCGAAGTAGGCAGGCACAGAATGTCTTCCGACATTATCATCAAAACCTCTACCAAAAGCCAGATTTATGTGTTGCTGGAGGAACAGTCTGAAGGAACGAGTTTCTGTAAACATTATAGCTAGAATAGTTCTGGCCAGTCGGACACAGCATGTTAGTCAATTCTACTTACCTGGTTCTGTATCATCTAGTTGCAGATTGGAGTCCTGACTGGCCAGACTTCTCGATGTGCTCCCACCAGAACTGACTTTGCAACTTTGTACTAGCTTCTTTGCCATATATCCCAATATGTCTCTAGATTCGGTTGAACCAGTGTGCACATAAACGAATTCTTGATTTGCAGGAATTGCGAACAGGGAATTTGAACTAGAAATCAACCCACAAATTCAATCGAATAAACTGAAATAATTTGGACTTTTTTTATATCCAGAGTTTTATTACCTAATATTAGTTACTATTCGGTTTTTCCTTAACATTTGGTAGATTTGATCTTCCAGGGAGTGTTCTAGCTTCTTGATGTTAGCTCCACTAGTAGAATCTTGGAATACAGCAGGACAAGTTTCAAAATAGAACAATACTCTTGGAGAACAGGGTCTAACATTTGACACCCAATCCTTAGGCAAGTTAGAAATGCAGCTTAGAACATCGGAGAGCTGGGGTGATACTTTTTGTCTGACAATTAACAAAAGTATAAGTCAGGTTTTAGCAAATTAATAGCTACAGTATCGGACAAAAACCGTTTCCTGTAACTATTCTGAAAGTTTGCGTCGGAGTAATAGTAAACACTCTGGATGGCAGAACTTCAATAACATAACAATACAACGAAAAATGTCTTTGTCTGGTACTGTATGTATTTCTGAAACACGATAAATTCTTACCTCACGATATCCATTGCCCTGAACAAATGCACGTAACTGTAGTCAAATGTATGAGTGGGATGAGTAAGAACAATAACATGTGATATATGAAATAGGAGAAGCAGTGCTCTAGCATATTTGTCTCTCATATGAGCCCACACGCTAAGGAAATCTTTGCAGTCTTGTTTCTCTACGAATCTGTTATATTCAGCTAACAGGGCATGTGTGTCTAACAAGCCCCTTAAATGTAAATATATAGTTCTATCTTTTGTATCATGATATCCTTCGATTTCACACTATAAAAAGTTTCAACAAAATTATTGTAATTTGTTTTGATACTGTGACGACAGTATTAATATATTTCTTACAAATGTGTCTTTATCCATTTGTGGTTCATCCAGGAGATCCACTTGAAGGATTGAACTCAGCATGTTTGTCTTGCATCCTTTGGCTCTGTACTGTGACTTTCCAAACACAGAAACAATTACTACCTTTTTGTCCCTATACATAAATCTATAAAAAGAACATTAAAAAAGTACGTTAATATTATAAAATATTCGCATTATTATTGATGTAATATACATTATGTTTCCAGAATTTATATTTAATTTCTAGTATTAATAAACGGTGACTATATCTTTTCTTAAATAATTCATTACCTGTCTGCATTGCATGGAAGTCGAAACTTTTGCGGTCGCATTCTGTATTTATTCGAGTTCCCGTAACTGTCAAATTATACCATTTTATACTGAAAGATTGTAGGTTCAGTACCGAATAGCTAAAAAAATAATGGAAAGATTTGTTCGGCGTATCAAGCTAATTAAAACTTTTCTAAGCAGTCTTTATAAACATCGGACTAACCTTGTCTGTGTTATAAACAAAGTGTCTGGTTTTGCTAGGAGTTTTTGTTTATGCGATTCCTAGTTACACGGTTTATTCACTATTAAGGTGTTGGGCTTGATTATCGATCAAAGGAAAGGAACCGCTTCGTTCCGTTTTATTGTTTATTACTGTATCGCCCTGGGCTTCGTGAAAATTGATATTTACATGACAAATGTACAAAATTGTCATTTGCTTTTGTGTGAGAAACTAAAGTTCTACTGGCGAGTATCAGTTTGATGTTATTGTAGAAAGTTGTCAAGCTTCTGTTCCGAATATGGTATTGACGAAGGAATACCGCATATGCATGCCGCTTACAACGGAAGAGGTAAATTATTTTTCTGTTACTACGATACGATTGCAAAAAATTAAACGTTAATATCCGATATCCTGCTGTTCTTCAACCGCCACGACTTGTATAGCTTATATAGGGTTATTTTAAAATAATATTCCGAGAGTCTCGTCTGGTTGATAAGACAACACGATTTTTGTATTAAAGTTGTTCATATTATCGATAAATATTTACGTTTGAAGTTTTAATTATATATTTTCTTGAGAAATGTTATAGTAAAATTATTGAATCGTTTGTAGTATCGCATAGGACAACTTTACATGATTGCAAGGCATAGCCATGAGCAATCAGATAATGATGATGGGGTTGAGGTTGTTGAAAATGTAGAATGCGATGATCCTACACACGGAAAGGGCCAGTACACAGAGAAAAGAATTCATTTGTCTAGGTAATGATGATCATAAACATGTCCTGTAAGTGTAAGATTTTGCAGCAATAGTTTTTCTGCATTTATTTTATTGTATTGTAGCAAATTACCATATTGGATTCAATCTGTCATTCCAAGAATATTTTATATAACAGAAAAGGCATGGAATTACTATCCTTTCACCATCACAGGTATAAATATCTCTATTAACAAAAGGCGGATACTAAAATTATCTTAATTCTCCTGTTAATAATTATCCTATAAAGTAACATTTCAATTTAATGATATAACATTTCGTTTGCATGTTCTTTGTGGTCATCGAAGAATACACTGTAAGTATTGATATCAAGGACTGATCTCGAATTTCCTGTTACATAAAATTATTGTATTTCAGTGTTCTTTCATTCCCAAGTTCCAAATATCAATAAGAACCAAATACGAGGATAACAATGGTTCCACAGAGAATGTATGTGAATTTCTGTAGTACTTTATTTAATAACAATCATTCATTTATTAAACATCATATTTAAAACAGTCCTTAGGTCTGTCTCCGATTGATCAGCTACACCGTGAAGTTGACTTTGTAGACATTGCATATGATGAAATCTCTGCGAAACACTACAAAGAGGAAGAGGTATAGTTCAATGCGTTATTTTTCATTTCTAGAAACAAAGAGTTTTAAAGCATACATTTCGTCTAGGATCCAAAATTTTTTCAATCCAAACGAACCGGTCGTGGACCGTTGGTAGAGGGATGGAGGGAAACAATACAACCCATAATGTGTTCCTATAAATTAGTTCATGCTTCGTTTGAAGTTTGGGGTATGCAAACTCGAGTGGAAGACTTCATTCATAGAGTAATATGGCTTTACTAAAAAGTATTAAGTTAGATATATATATAAGTAGGGGTGATTATATTCGTTGATTGTCATTTTTTCCTTAGTGTATAAGGGATATTTTATTATTGGGCCATCGACAAGCATTTGCGTGGATCGATGAGTGGTACGATATGACATTGGAAGATGTTCGACAATACGAGCATAAGATGCAAACGGAGACCAATGAAAAAGTACGACTTAGAAATCAGAACAACGAGAAACCAATGACACCTACCACACCAAATGCATCGGTGCCATCGTCACCATTACCTAAGTCTCCAACACAATCCAATCGATCGTGGTTTTCTTGGTCATAGCCGTAATCCCAGAGACTGTTGGAATTAGCGATACGCTAGCCTGCCTAGGTAATGAAATTAAATTCTGTGCAAACAAACATTGGCATTTTCGATTTTATGTGTACGTGTGTATTCACATGTAGTCTGGTACCTGTAACTGAATTGGATCTTTTAAAACTTGAGGGTTTCTGAAACTCAAAGTTGTTCACGCGGAGAAAGAATTCTCTGCATCGTTTTCTCGGATTATTTACTTTGTAAAAAACAAGAAAGAGACGTTATAGAGTATTGAATATTTTTATAGTTTAATTAGTCTGCATTAATGTTGGGGCTAGGCACAAGTATCATTGTAAAGAGTAGACAGATTTGTTGAGGTACAGGTTTCGTTGATTCCAATCATGATTATAGTAACCTCAATCATTGTAGCAAAGTACCAGTTTACGTTACCATTGCATCGATTGTATGCAGATTTAGTTTGCTGAAGCAATCATAAAAGAAAAAGAAGTATTATAAGACGCCTGATGATATTATATTTACCGGCTTAATCTGTACTTATGTATATGTTGTAAAAAAAGAAAACCAAGCGGTAGGATCTAACGCAATAATTGTGCAATACCTGTGTGACTGCACAGAGTTATACGTATTGTTGCTCGAACAAATCTTACGGCACTAATGAATCATGTTCATTCTTGGGTCGATAACGAACCTTATGCTACCAATTAATTACTATTTTTTCAATACTATTTTTCAGTACTATTTTCTTTAATCGGTGAAAACGGGGGTTGTACATACGAGAAATAATGAGGATAGGACTATTTACTCTCGAATCATCTTTACCATCAATAAACGAATCGATAATTCTAAGCTTTTCTTTTTTTTAATTAAACAATAAGTGTCTCGTTCTTTCCTTATTTGCGTTGATAGTTCTCGATTATATTTCGTCTGAAAGTTTCACGGGACCAAACGTGTTGAAACGAGGACAAAAACAAAAATAGCACAAGAATTCGCACATTGTAAACCTGGTTGTAGGTGTAAAAGTTACAGCATACGTTGTGTCATTCGTGACTTTCGATGTAATCGTTCAGGACATGTTACTGTAATATCCATTGTACCTACTTAGTACACTTAGCATTGTGTTCCTTTCAAACACTGCAAAGCATTTAATTCATCCTGCAATGTAGGCACATGTATCTGAATAAATGTTTCAAACCGTTCTTCTCGTACACCTGTGGCTTTACTTACTCTGCAAACTTGTTTGTTGTTCATTGTTCATCCACCAACCTCAATATCTTGTGTAACATAGGAGCTGTAATTGGATTCAAGATAAAAATAGATATCTTTATTTTTTATCCTCTAAAATAGCTTTAGTCACTTATAAAGGAATTTCGGTACCCCGAAAATTTCGATTTTTTTTAAATAAACAAATAAACAAATTTTTACCAATTTCATTACACACTTTTATAGAGTAGAAGTATCGAAATTTACATCCCAGATAGCACATGACGTCTCGAAGACGTCCATTTTACGGTTATTTTAGGTCTAAGGCGCCTTTAAGCCGTCTTCAAGGCGTCATGTGCTATCTGAGTTAGTATTGTGTCAAAAGTATCGATACCTACCTATATCGAAGGAAAATGAATACAAAGTTTTGTTTAATTAATATACATAATATATTTTGACCAGAGTTGAGCATAATTTTACTCGAATCTCAGCTAGCATATGATGCCCAATGACGCCTTGAAGACGGCTTAAAGGCGCCTTAGACCTAAAATAGCCGTAAAATGGACGTCTTGAAGACGTCATCTGCTATCTGGGTAGCAGCTTTCATATCGATTACCTGCTCCATTCGATGTTAGTATTTTTTTCGATAGTACATATCGCAACCGAAAGTATCGATACTAAAAGTACTCGGTATTGAAACGAAAATATCGATTATTTACTTGGATTGATTCGTTCCTATCTTCGAACACTCATCGATGATTTACTGTCTAAACCATTAAGGGGTACTTTCACCCTAAAAAACCAACTATTAAAAAATGAAATATTGCCCGATGATTTTATCGAGGTCCCCAAAAAATCCGGGGGGGGGGGTTTAAAGAAAAAATCGGAATTTTCAAGGTACCGAAGTTTCCTTGTCAGTTCAATGCCCAAAAAGGGCTTCTATTTCTTTGGAATACAATAATTTAATCGTTTGACCTTGACCTTGACTTGGAAAACTGGTGATACCAAAATGTATGGATCTATTTGTCATCATGAAATATTCAAAGTATCAAATGGCAGTCGGAATGTTGCTGGGAACTATATTTACAACACAAATAAATATATCCAGAGAAGGCCAGGAGGCCTCTATCGTCATTGTTGCATCGAAGAAGGGGGCCGAACTTTTAATTGTCTTCGAAGTCTGCTACGAAATTAATAAACCTCGATCCGCGAATAACCAACCGACCGCTTTTGAGCCGCTCGACCCAGTTAGCCGGACTCCTTGCCTGCCCATTAAATTCATTGCTGCTTGAATTCGGTTCCTCCACCCCTTCGGGGGCGGGGGGGGGGGGGGGTACTGCAAATTAAGAGAGACAGGGACGAATGATTCGATAGAGCTGAGATTTTTATTTCTGTTCTGATGAGATTCCCCTGAATTATTCCACTTGGGACACACCCCCTAGAGATGTGCGACATTGGTTCTAATATCGATGATGTTTATCGATATATATTTTCTCGTTAAATATCGATACATGAACATTATTGGTTCATGAAGCATCCTGATAGCACATGACGTCTTGAAGACGGCTTAAAGGCGTCTCAAACCTGAAATAGCCGTAAAATGGACGTCTTCAAGACGTTATATGCCATCTGAGCATCGATACGAAAATCCTATCAATTTACCAATTAAAAAAATCAACTGCATACATCGAAGAGAATAATTTTAATATAAAAGTTTTCGCATAGAATTAAAAAATTGTTTATTTATTATGAAAACAGGCAATTCGCTTTTCGAATGATATTTATTTATTATTAAAATTTATTATTTATTATAAATTGCAATCTTCTAAAGACAAGCAGTCCAGATAATAGCACATGACGTCATGAAGACGCCCATTTTACGGCTATTTTAGGTCTAAGGCGTCTTTAAGTCGTCATTATGCCGTCTGTCTGCTATCTGGGAGGTTAAAAATAATAATTGTTGAAAATTTTGTATGGATGAACGGTTTTTCTTTTCGTTGAAAATTGCTTGAGAAAACAATCTCTCAGATGGGACTGACGTCGCAATTACTCGATGTATTTATTCTTTTTTCAAGCAGTTTTCTTTTTCTTTTTGTAAAAAATTATCGATATTTTGACAGAAATTATCGATGTCCGTAATTATTGGTTTCTAAAATATTGATAAAAAAATAGTGATATATCGATAGGTAAGTGTCGATAAATATCGCCCATCAATAATACGCATAACTTTCTTACCCACGTAACCATGCTCTCAGCGAGTTGTGCAACCGTCATCCCAGTGGAATGAAAATCCTTTGGAAGGATCTACCCACTCGTTTGGCTACTTCTTTCTTGCACCCCGTTTCCACTAAATATACACTCCCTGAAACTATTTTTAGCTAGTTTCTTAATATACAATAGGTGAAAAAAGTATTCGCACACCCTTTAAAACAGAATAACTGTTTTAAAACTGAACCAAATGGTTTGAGTTTTTTTTATGAAGTTAGAAGGATTAGTCGATCTTAATTTTTAGTTTTATTCTATCGTTAATCATGGGCGTAGCCTGGAGGGGGCATTGGGCCCTTGCCCCCCTGAACGAAAAAAAGTGGCTTTTGCACTACTCTAGAAGAAGAAAAAATGGATTTTGCCCCCACCCCTTCCCTCCAGAAAAAAATTGGATTTTGCCCCTTTCACTGATAACCTGTAAAAAATAACCTAAAAAATCTATAACCACCTAATTTTTGATAAAAATACTTTTTGTCGCTAAATAAGAAATGATTAAAAAGAAATTAAACGCGCGTTATAAAGAAATTTTCGTAATGTTATTTGTTTTTCAATAATTTTATGGCTGACCTTACGAGTTTTTGGTAGCAATCGAAAGTTGAAGCTTTCACGAATGGTCCGTTAAATTTTCAACTAAATTTATAATTATTAAAAATTTGCGGAAACCACTTTAATCTGTATTCGATTTTCATCGGGTAGGGAAATCCTTTTACTTGGTCACGTGGCGTGTGAGTGTTTACTGGGCACTGGGGGGCGGGGGGGTCACGTGGACGGAAGGGCCGCGTGATCTACGTGTCGACTTACGTAAACGGTGTTCGTCCTGGACAACGGGATATTGTATTTTGGAATCAATAGAATATCCCTCTGGCTTGATCGAGACTGGACCGTCCTATTATTTGAATTAATTAACAGTAACGGCCTAGCCCAGCGGTGGTGTTTCGTAATTCTGCGATCCGTTTAATTAACACACCAACTCGACGCTCGCTCTTTCTTTTCCGCCTTCGTGTTTGCGTAACGAGATTAGGGGGATAGTGTTCCACGGTGGAAATAAAAAAGAGAGAAAAAAAAGCACCACCCAGGATGAGAAGATTAGGGGATAAATGATGTTATCGTGATGTTTCTTCGTAAGATCGAGAATTATATCATCGAGACCGATGAGAAATTGAAGATCACTAATAAATTCTTTGAATTATTTAATTATTTGTTTATTTATATATAAAAGGGGTATGAACCATTTGGTACAATATAGAAGTACAGCAACGACTCGATGAGAGTTGGATAGGAAGTTCCTCGTGAGAGTTTCTACTTCATCCCAACCATTATTAAATTTGCATTACAATCTCAGAGAAAAAAAGTTGAAAAAAGCGACCTTTACTATTTTCTTCGCGATTTCGACCAATTGCAATTTTTTCTAAAAATTTTCTTTAATTTCTCTAACTTCACGAAACAAATAAAAAAAAAAATACTTGGTCCAATTTTAAAAAAATTGTGCTGTTTGAAAGGGTGTGCGAAGACTGGAAAAAACTTAAGGTCACTTTGATATCTCAAATAAAATAAGATATAAAAAAATAAAATTGTATCCATCCGACGCGTCTCTTAAAATGCTACATAATTCATTAAAACGGTTTTTAATACAACCAATAGGTAATGAGTTATTTTTTTTACAACATATCCAAATGTCAACAAAATCCGAAATGTTACTAGATGATCCCTGGGGAATACACAGTTTTTCATAGGGGGCAGCTACAGCGTTCATTTCGGGTG